CGCACCCTCTACGGCTTCGGCGGCTAAGTTGGGCTCGGCAACGCTCGCGCTTCTGCAACAACAACAACACAAAGGCTCTTTTCAGAGCCACCCACCTTGTCGAGAGAAGGGCTTTGATCGCTTCTTGCGCCACGAACGCATGTTGCCTTGGGACTTGCCGATTTGGGGCGAGGGAGGGGGAAACGGACCTTCAGGAGAAAGAGAGGAGGGGAGGGGGGGGGGCGCTGCTTGACCCGTAACCTTGTTTCTTTCACCCTACACCACATTCAGAAAGAAAAAAAGTGCTTTAAAGGGGGAGAAAATTAATTTTTTTTTTTTTAAAAAAAAAGCTTCGACCGTCCTCAGAAAAGAGAAGGGTGACGGCAGCTTCTCAGCTGCATCCCTCCTCGCTGGGCTCGAAAGAAAAGCGCTCGTTTGCGCGTTGAAATCAGGGGGCAGGGAGAGGCTGCCCGAACGCGCTCCTTTGAGAGGGGGGCGGTTAGAGGAAGGGAAGCCGAGACCCGGCGCCCAGACGTGAGCGGCAGCCGGAGCGGGGCTGTGGGAGAGCTCTCTCCCACCGCCGGCCACGGGCTGGGGAGAACCTCGGGCGCACGCGGGCTGCCCGTAAAATGGCGGGACCGTTTCCCCCTCCCGCCATGGCGCGCTCTGCTCCGTGGGCGGAGAAAAGAGGGAGGAGAGGGGGGAGAGGGGAAGGAAGAAGAGGGAGCAGAAACGGCTCGAAACACTTGTGGCGCCACAGATTCTGTAAAGAGCGGGCTGCCAGGCCGGCGCAAAACGCCTTTTTGCCTCCAGCCGAGCGGGACAGGTGGGTCCCCTCCGCCACTGCACGTCCCCATACATCGAGCCTTAACCCCAGCAGCGCCGGCTTAAGAGGACTGAAGGCAGCCGGAAGGGCAGGAGGGGGATGGGGAGGAGGGAACGGAGCCCAGAGCGCTGCTCCCACGCGCACTGCGCAAAATACCGCCAGGGCCGAGTCCACGCCCGGCACTGGCCACCCCCCGGCCTTCCCCAAGAACAGGGATAACAGCTCTCCTCCGTGCCAAAGTGGTGGCTCTTAAAAGAGCCTTTGGTTTGGGCGGTCGCAGCGGGGCGCCGGCTCCGGCAGGAGCCTCAGGCGCGCTCGCCGCGGATGCGCCGGGCGAGCTGGATGTCCTTGGGCATGATGGTGACGCGCTTGGCGTGGATGGCGCACAGGTTGGTGTCCTCGCAGAGCCCCACCAGGGAGGCCTCGCTCGCCTCCTGCAGCGCCATCACGGCCGAGCTCTGGAAGCGCAGGTCCGTCTTGAAGTCCTGCGCGATCTCGCGCACCAGTCGCTGGAAGGGCAGCTTGCGGATCAGCAGCTCCGTCGACTTCTGGTAGCGCCGGATCTCGCGCAGCGCCACCGTGCCGGGCCGGTAGCGGTGCGGCTTCTTCACGCCGCCCGTGGCCGGCGCGCTCTTGCGGGCCGCCTTGGTGGCCAGCTGCTTGCGCGGCGCCTTCCCGCCCGTCGACTTACGCGCCGTCTGCTTCGTGCGCGCCATGACTGAGCTCCCCCTTACAGGAAAACCAAAGATGAACAAAGAAATGCGGAATCAGCGCGCCGCTCTGGCTCCCATTTATATCCCCCGCTCTTTCCCCATTGGTTGATCGAAAGACTCGCTCTCATTGGACGGATTTGAAAGACCCGCGTTAGCAAAGGCGCCCCAACCAGCTTTCTCAGGGAGGTCTGCTCCTACCTGGAGCTTTTATTTATAAATGCGATTTTTTCTCTTTATGATTTTTTATTGTGCTTTAGATATTTTCTTTTCCTTTCCATATAGCTACGTATCTATAAAAAAGTAAATAAATATGGTTAGAGTAGCCCAGAACATATTTTCACTATGTTCTATAATAATCTATAGATTTAAAACATTAACACTGTAACCGTTGCAGCTCACGTTCTCGTAAACAGGGGAAAAATTATCATGCTTCACGTTCTACTGTAAAGATAGTGAAGCACTTATTAACGCAGTGTTCTTCCGGTCTTCAAATATTAAAGAGCCAAAGTCTCTTTTAAAGACCTGAGCGTTCTTTCATTTTATACCCGAAATCGAGATTTTATGTTATCCTCTCTTTCAGAGAGTAAACCTTACCTCAATCTTCTGTATGTAAGTACTTATTGTTACGAATAGTAACCATATCTCAACGAGCTTTTTCACTCACAAAGAACAAGCGACGTAACTGCGGAAAGAAGAGCCGATTACGCCCCCCTCTCCCTTTAACACGAATTCGGAGAGGAAGGGCCCGCAGCGCGCGGGGAACGGGCAAGGGGGCGGGGAAGATTTCGAACGCGCCAATGAGATTCTTCCCTGCGAGCAGCCGAGGGGGAGGGGTAGCAGCGGCCTATAAATAGAGCTCGAGGGGCTGCGCGCTGCTTCTTTCCGTTGTCGGAGAAAAAGTGCAGCGAGAGGATGGCGCGCACGAAGCAGACGGCGCGTAAGTCGACGGGCGGGAAGGCGCCGCGCAAGCAGCTGGCCACCAAGGCGGGCCGCAAGAGCGCGCCCGCCACGGGG